TGAACCTTATGGGAAAATTTACCTCGACTTGCGATCAGAGTCACGGAACGGATTAAGTTTGTAAGTAGGGGTACCACTGTATCCATGGTCAGGCTAAAATTCACATGTAGGACAGGACTGAGAAATTTGTGAAGCTCTAGCTCTCAGAAGCCCCCAGCAGCACAGCAAGTGGAAAGACATGCTGGGAGTTGCAGTCATACAAGAAAAACCATAAAACCTTGATGGGCCGGACTTCCTTCTAGTCCAGTACCCTATTTCCCATAATGGTTAATCAAATCCCTCTGGAATAAGGAGAGAATACATGAAATCAATAGTCCTCTTCTTTGGCTCCTCAGGAAATATTCAAAATATGTTGCCTCTGATTCTGAAAATAGCTATTATCACACTTATGGTATATATTCCATAACAAATACTTTTGTCCAATGTGGATGTACTGTGTATCTATCTAACTATGTAATCGCAGACTCCAGCTCTTTTTTGTCCATGTCAAAAACGTCAAACTTTTGTGACATTGTGTTATGAATAGGGAGGAGTGTTGATTTGAAATCTTGCTGACAGAACTTTTTTCCTAGGGTTTTCTGATAAAATACACTTAGGATAGGCTGGCAACAGAATAACTTTCTGACTCATTCCAGTCTGTCTTGGTGGGGAGTTCTCCCTTCAGCCCAGATTTCAGAAAACAGAAAGAAAGTTCTTGGGATCTTCCCAACCAAAGCCCAGAAACAATCAACTGAAAAAATACAAGGAGTTTCCATGCATCGCTGCAGTCTTGCTTGTGTGAAGGTTTTAATGAGAATTTCCCCTTTTGAACCAACAAAACCAAATATCTAGGTATAAAAAAAAATTTAGAAAAGGAGATACACAGGAAAAAAGGAAAGAATCAATCCCACACAGAATTCTGAATAAAATAATCATCATCATGGGAGCTAAGTAGTTACCTATTTCTTCCTTGAATAAGCTCTTGAATTTCCGCACATATTTACAGTTCATTGCTGAGAGTAGAGTTAGAGAGAGATCACCTGGACATCTTGCTCTGATGTTGTTAGGCTGGTCCACATTGTTGCTGCAACTGCTTCTTTTCTTCTCCCTTGTGCATTCCAGGAATCCTGATACTGCTGGAAAACTATAGCAGCTTGGAGCAGGAGGTCCAACAGATTTCTGATTTCTCCTGCAGACAATTTCATTTTTCCAAGAAGAAAGAAGACAGTTATCTGGAGTTAATCCTGATCACCAACAGACAGGAATTGATCAAAGGACTGAAGGTGTTAGGCATTTTTGGGAAAAGCAATTAAATCATACTGGAATTCAAGATAACTAGGGGAGGAAAAGCTGAAAGAAGTTGGACATGCTCCAGGGACTTCAGGAAGACAGGTTTTAATGCACTCTGGCAAAAGGTGAACAACATGCCATCGCTTGAATCTTATAGGATAAACAAAAATTAGATATTGAAAGCATAGGCACAGACTATCTCTATGGGAAGAAAAAAATGAAAAAAAAAAAACACTTCAAAGGCCAGTATGAATGAATAACGATTTCATTAAAAACCTGAAAAGCAAAAAGGAGATGGAAGCAGGAGTTGAAAACTAATCAGAAATACAAACTGATAGCTGAACTATGTAGGGATAGAGACAGGAAGAGTACAGATCAGAGTAAGATTCTGATGAGGAGCACAAAATATAATAAGTTGGGGGAAAACATTTCCAAATATATTTGAGGAGGGAAATTTAGCTCAGGATGGACAGAGATATAGAAATAATCCATCATGATTCTGAAACAGCTATAAAAGTGATGTCAGAACTGCTGACTGTATAATCTTTGAAAACTCATAGAGTACTTATGAAGTGCCAGAAGACTGAAAAAGAGCAAACATAGCTGAAGTATTCAAAAAGGGGGAGAGGGAGGACATGGGAGACTATAGGCTAGTTAGTTTGATGTCTTCATGGGGCAAGTGCGGGGTAGTACTAAAGGTGTAGTACTAGGACTGGGGAGACTAACTCAAAAAATAGGATTACATTTTGGACTGGGTCTGGTTCAAATCCATCCTTAGAAACTGAAAATCATAGGATGACCTTAGACCAGTCATTCTCTGTAAGCTCAACCTAAATAAAAAGCTGTGGGAATAAAACAGAGAACTGAAATACGCTGCCTTGAGCTCCTGAATATTAACGTTAATAATTAATGCCAAGCAGCATATCTGTGAGCATTTCATTAAAAAAATGTTATCATTGCCAGAAGCCAGCATGGATTTGTCAAGAACAAGTTTTGTTGAACTACTCTTCTTTTTATAACAGAATAACTAGCCTGTTGAACCAGGAAATGTTGTAGATGTGGTGTACTTTGATCTGGGTAACGTGTTTGATAAAGCCTCTCTTGAAATCCCTGTGAACAAGATGAATAAATGTGGGCTGGACAATAGTGCAACTGATTGAACAACTCTATCCAAAGAGTGCTCTTGGATGGTTCTGCATTCCTCTTAGAGGGAAGTACTAAATGGTTTTGCAGGGTTCCTGCCTTGGCCTAGTGCTATTCAATGTCTTTCTAAATCTTCTAGGTGATCAGATGAAAGGGATGCATATCAAATTTGCAGATGATACAAAGCTAAGAGGATTGACTAATATCTTAGGGGACAAAATCACAAATCAAAATGACCTCAACAGGCTTGAACATTGGGCCAAATCCAAAAGGATGCTGTTCAATAAGAAAAATCAAATTCATTTGTAAAGAAATGGACTTACATTATGGGAGAAGGTAATTCTGTTCTTTACACTGGTTGGACCACACATGGAGTTCTGAGTCCAATTCAAGAAATGCCACTTTTAAAGGGGCATGAAGAAGCTGGAATAGGCTCAGAGGAGGGTTACCAGTATTATAAGTAGTCTGGAAACTAAGCTCTATAAGAAAAGTTTAAAGGAATTAGGTATGACTAGCTTGCAAAAGACAAGAGTATACAAGATATTTGGTCTACAGATATCTAACAAGCTGTCATGTCAAGGGCAGATGGACTTGTCCTCTGCTGAAACTGACAGCAGGACAAGACCAGCAGGATGAAATTAAAAGAAAGACATTTCAAGTTGAATAATTGGAGAAATGTCCTGATGATAATAGCTGTTAAAGAGCAGAACTACCTACCTAATATAGTGATGGAGTCATTGAAGGTTTTCAAATGGGAGTTGGAAGGCCACCCAAGTGTCAGGATTATTTAATGAATTCCTGATTGAGCACAGGATTGGGCAACATGGCTAACACAGTCACTTCTATGATTTGGTCCTAGAGGTTAAGAGAAAGCCAGTCTCCTTGGGCAAACTGTTCCTTCCCCAGTCTAACAAAATGCTCCATCTCTGATGTCATGGATCTTGCCAGCAAATTCAGATTATCTAGTGCTGAATCCACCTTCCTAATGATCTTTGAATGATACAGACAATAACTAATTTTCATTAGTTGTGATCTTGAATAAAAAGGATTAAATGGGAGGCAGGGGGAGGTTGAAAACAAAAGTTCAATTCTACCTATTCAGGCCTCTTAGACTGCATTTAGCTCATTCTTAACAAAATGTAACACTTATTACAGACTGTAAATAAATCTGTGTAGAATGAGAATGAGGGATTTGTATGAAAAGAGAAATCCTCTGGGTAACCAAGAACACACACCACCAAAATTGTGCAAGCCAACAAAGAGAAATGGAAGTCTTTGCACAGCAAGGAAAATTTTTAGAAGCACCAGAAAAGATTTAAATGTTTTCAAGTGAATTAACAAGTTCAGACCAAAGCAGGTACATATGCTGCTCAGAGAAACATGAGAATTAAACAATATTAAAATAAAGATTACAGAGTGGAAATTTCAATCTAGAAATCTTTTCCCCCCACATTAGCTTAACTATAAGCAAGGAACAAGTGCCAGAGGAAATGAGTATTTAAGAAAACTTAGACAATCTGGCGGAGTCTTGAAAAGAAAAGCTTTAAATTTGGGAACTATTACTTTAATGGGAGAAGATACAAAAGCAGACCAAATATTAACTGGAGAAAAGGAGATCATAAGAACTTCTTCAGAGTGAAAAATGTAAGGCACTTCAAAGCATGCTGAAAACTAGAGTTACCCTGCAATGCACTGATAAAGCACATTACAATTTTTTTGTTTAGTTTTTAAAGATGAGGATGTTTTTGTTAGAAGCAATATTATTTAACTTGATGTAAAGCAGAGTTTGCCACCTTTTTGATACCTATAGCTCAGCATTTTTCCTAATTAAAACAAACTGATTTCAGTACTCAGCACATCTATTTCTCAAAATAGCAATGAGATCTTAGGGCATTACTTCTTTCAGGCCAAATTTCTACTGGATGAGAGAACTCTGAACACTTAAGGTTTCCACATCTGTTTTATTGACGCTCCGGCTTCTTTCCTGAACAGGCTCAACTCAGTGGGTCTTGCAAGGAGGTCGACATTTCAAAACACTGTCCACTTCCTGCACAATTAATTGATCATAATGCCAATTTAGAACCAAAGGTACAGCCTCACTTGATGGAGCTAGCTCAGGAAACAGGAAGGAAGAGGTGATGTATGTGAACTTAGGTCTATACACATATGTAACTTCCTAAGGTTTTGCATCATGATTAGTCATCATTCTTTTATAAGTAATCCACAGTGTCTTGGCTCATATGTAACAAAGCTTAAACCAAAGCAATCTTTGTTATGATTCGGCACGGCATAGACACTGCATGATAGGTACATATGAAGGGAAGTAAGCCTATGGGTCTATGCCTATATAAAACCCCCAACCCATCACTGGGAGAGATTGTGGTCAAGCTGGAAAAGAAAGGAACAGATAGTGGGCAAGTCACTTGGCAGCTTATTTATAAACAGCTGCTCAAGCCAGGTGGGGGAAAAAATCTCAAGGTATTTAAAAAGACTCTACTTTAATTAATGCACTATAAATGAAGTTGGAAAATTCCTATTATGATTTCCAAGATTCTGTATTTAACTCCAGACCAATAAATCTATGTAGTTCTTGCTTCCTTGGTCTTGCCCTGTTGCATGGGACTTGATAATCACCTAGCACCCCAGGTTCCCATTCCAGATTTAAGCAAAAGCAGAGCATAGCTAAATTGTGGTTGAGTAAGCCATGTTTTACAGTTTAGTGAACTGTGCAGATCCAGCTAAGTGCAAAACCAGCACCGTTAATTAAAATACCTCTAATTTGGCTCATAGTATTGGATTCATGGGTATGGAATGGCAATGGCTTCCATATCATGCTTAGCCAAACATGTGGTTTGCTTATATTTAGCTTAGTATTTTTTACAGACTTAACTCCTGTGGTTTGGGAAAAAAGTGGCTTAGTGAAAGGATAACAACACATCGTCTGCAAGCAATAGATTGTTCCACTGAAATTTGGCAGGATACTGTCAATTTTGTATGTCTGTGTTTTTAAACACAATAATGCCCAAGATAAATGTATTAAGCTCCTGGAAACCTTAACACACCTATTTTGAGTAACTCCTTTACAGGGTTTGACCCTACCTTTTATAATGAAATCACGATAGGGTTAGTGCCCAGCTCCTATGTCTGAGAAAAAAACTAGAGAATAATATCATGTGATCAAGATATGAGCTACCTGGAACAACATTTCTTCCAAAATCAAGTTGTACATTAGTAGATGTTGAAACAATTATAAATAAAAGACCAAACATATTAGCCACTGTCATGTCCAGATATGTTGGACTACAAGTACCATGATTTCTAGAAAGAATGCCAGAAGACCAACTTGGGAATTGTAGTCTATATACCTGAAAAGTATCAGGTAAAGAAAACCTGAAATAATTCAATAAAATATCTTGGGCTATCCATTTTTCTTTGGCTTGAAATAGTATATATAACTTAGGTACACTATTAAAGGAATATTTAACTAATGAGGTATTGCAGCTATGAAAAAAGTGAGAGAAAAATCAGACATGGCAACAAATCCTCATTGGATCAGTTTGCTACTTAATATTTCAGAAAAACTGAGATGCAGATAATAGTTGATAGATTTTTCCTCGCCTTTTAAAGAACAGGGGTGTTCCCTTAATGTATGAAAAAACCATGACAACATGCTTCTAAAAATGTTAGAATAAAGACCAAATACCACTAAAAGCCAGTTGCAAGCCCTATCAAGTTTCTCCCAGTATCTTCCCATCCTTGGTCAGACCCTGCTCACCACATTTCCCAATACTGCTAGTTCATGCATAATAAGGGGGCCTTTCCTTACCTGGACTAGTGCTAAAAGTATTTTCCTCCATATTCTGACCCATCCAGGGGAAGCTTCCAGGGATGTAAGCTTGGTCACCTGTTACCTTGGAAGGAAGTCAGGTAATTTGAAACAGAGGCAAAAGAGACAGGATAAGGAGTTGCAAATTTCAGCTGGTCTAGTTTTCTGCTAATTCAAGGATGGGTGGAGATTCATCATGGGCGGCGGGAAAGGCCCATAGAAGATGCCCATTAACAGTTTTCAGTGGACAGTATAGGCAGCAGGCATAGATACTGCTTGAAATACAATCTTGCCTGTAGATATAAGCTTTATAGATAAATGATAGGAATGGTTTTTAAATATTAGGTACCTGCAAAGACATTTTTGACACACTTTTTAGCAAAATCTGAGCCTTCTTTTGCACTAAACACTAAGCCAAAATCAACCAGATCATATGATAGACAAAACTCAGCTAATGGTTGCTTATTTAATAAGCCATGGTTAAATAAACCATGTATTGCCATGATATGCAAATCAATGATTCTAATTCTTGAGAAGCAACCCATGGTCTGTCTGCATAATCCCATCCTTGCTATTTTCATGATGATAAAGTGGGACAGAATAATAGAATCAAAACTGTATTGATTGGATTGATTCCTCTGGCTGATGAATTCTGGGAGTTGAAGTCCACAAATCTTAAAGTTGCCGAGGTTGAGAAACACTGCTCTAGCTAGTGCCTGGCAGTTTAGTTGAGAACAACATGGGTAAGTGGGTATGAGTGTGTGTGACAGAGAGAACAAATGCACATTGTAACTAGTAAAGTTTTGCTGCCACTTGGAATTTATTGAGTTTTTGTATATTGTATCAGAACCTGACGTGCCTCAATGTTCAGTTGGAAGTGATTTGATTTGCATGTATTTCTAATTATTTCCTGGCTGTTGACCAGGGCTGTGTGTTTTGTATGCTATAGCTGCGCCAATCTGGAAAACCCAGATAGAAAGCGGGGGGCAGGGCTGCAAGATCCATGTGCCTGTACAGGCTGTGTGTGTGAGAGCAAGTGACCATAAGCCAAACCTTGGGAGTAACAACTCCTGTCTTCAAATGGACTTTCACAAGAACTCTGTAAGGTAGTTTAGGGTGAGAGATAGTGATTGACCCAAGTCACCCAGTTAACCTTTCTGGATTAGTGTAATTTGATATTTGATTTCTCCAGTTTTAGTTGAATATCCTAACCAAAACACTGCATTGGGTTTCATTTTTAAAATCTGAGAAGCTCTTATAATCTTACTACCTGACAGAACTGAAAGAGGGGAACTGGTGAAACCGGGAGAAAAAGGTACAGGAGGATTGGAAAAGTTGTCATCTCATTGGTTTTATAAATATTACACACTGCTCAAATTGAATAGGATGATGCTTACAGTTCACATACATTCCCTCAATCTCCTTGGCTAATTCTTTACTAACTGTGTATAGTTCTTTACATATCTGTAAATTATATAGTAGGATACTCTAAAAACATTCCATGTGAAATCTCACTCTGCTTTTTCAGAGTATGCATGTTCTGAAAGCTGAATTTTGCATATGATAGCTGAATTGCATGGCATTATTTTGATGTTATATATTTAATTTACTATATTTAATTTGTCAGAAGAAGATGGGAAAGGTTGGAATCTGCATCCTCCTCTCCAGTCAGAAAGCCCACTGGCTGACCCTGGACCAGCTGAAATCTGTTAGCCTAATGCAGTGTTGTCCAAACTTGGCCACTTTAAGATGAGTGGACTTCAACTCCACAGATTTGGCCAAGTTTGGACAACACTGGCCTAATGTATTGTGCTGGAGAGAACCATGCATACTTGTTTGAATTCTCTGGATGATGAGCAAGATAAAAAGGAAAAACTAAAATAAAAATTAAAGTAATCCTCTGCTTTTTGACCCAGATATTAATAGTGGCCTGAAACATAAATCAATAAGGCAATAAAATTCTTCTAAAGCTGTGTACAATTATGACAGCATTACAGTCAGCTGGAGTAATTGTATGCAGGCTCTTCAAAAGATTCAGCGAAATAGATATATGAAATGGCTATAAGAAAGAAACATTGGATTCTTCAGGGACAGCTTAGCGAGGGGAGGCAATTAATGAATTCTCATACACAATATTTTCATACTATAGAATTTTCAATTATCTTATCAGCCTCAATGTGGCATATGAGAATCAGGGCTGACCCCAAAAGCTGGGATGGTTAGGTATTTGTCAGTGGCACAGAACCAGCAGAATATGTGTGTGCACACAAAACAGAGAGATATGCCCTAACACAGTGTTGTCCAAACTTGGCCACTTTAAGATGAGTGGACTTGAACTCGCAGAATTCCCCAACCAGCCATGCTGGCTGGAGAAT